AGGGCTGGAGGGAGGCAGCATGTCTGGTCTTGTAGGAATAGGCTTTGGGTTACTGCTGGTAATCCTGTCTTGCTCTTGTGGGATTAGAGGAGGTCAGAACATGTGGCCTCCTTGCCCTTTTTGCAACTCCCTAGTACTACCTTCTCCTGGACTCACTATCATTCTACTCTGTCTCCCCCTTATTTCCTCACTTCCTTACCTCATGTGGGTGGGACTTACCAAAAGGTAACTCCTAGCCTAGACCCTAGTACTTACTGTTGTTTGCTACCTCATAGACTGGATTCCTCCCAATCCTTAAGCACATATGGTCTTCTTCCCAGTGCTTGGCCCAATGCCCAGGGTATGGCCCTTCCAGTTTTTCCTGTTAGTCTGAACTAGGATGCCTTGGCTAGGTCCAAGATGGGAAACCCTTGCTTTCTGGTTTACTTCAACTATAGACTTTTTAAGAAATACAGTAGCACATTCTGGGAGTAGAATATTGACATACTGTTACTCAAGTAATTCCTTTATTATTGAAAAAAAAAAAAAAAAAAGTAGTGGCATGAGTTTGTTCTTGGTTCACCTCAATAACACTGGCTGAAGTAATAGAATCTTGGGTAAGTCAAAGGACCAACAAACAGCTGTAACACAATTTAAACCTAATGAATAAGATAGAATAAGCCTAGCTCCTCCAAACGGAGCAGACATCCTTAGAAGTTCCACCCTGCCTTTCTATCTCCTTCTCCTTCCCTGTGCATCTCTTGGCAGACAGAAAGGAAGCAAAGCACTAGGGCTGTGGTTACTACTAACTTGATATTATAGTTTCTGAGTCAGTGCCCACATATGTTACAGCTCGGAATAACGGGGTCATGTCCTCACTGAAGACCCAAGGGTAAGACAAGAACCTGATTCTCCCTATTATTATTTCTACATTTTAGGAGAAGATTCCACACAAAATGACTGGCCTACCTAGCAAAAGTAGAAAGTGATCTTCAACATAGCTTAATGTATGAATACTAATGTTTAGCCTTCTGATTCAATACTTTCCAGAATCAAAACATCACCATGGCACATTCCAGCAAAAAGTTGAATGAGAATACACAGATGTCAACAGCTTAATACTTAGTTAGGCATTAAAAGGAAGAGGAAGAGAAAAGCCCTCTTGGAAATAGTGCCTTGCAATCTTGGACAAGATACATTAGTTTACCTGAAATTGAGGAGATAATGATTACACGATGGTGATTTAAAATGCACTTCACTGACAGGACCAGCTACATAATTTGCAGAGTTCAGTACAATGAAAATGCATAGTACCTTGTTCAAAAGTTAAGAATTTCAGGACAGCACCACAGAGTATGAAGTCAAGTGTGGGGCCCGTCTGAGTGTAGAGCCCCATGCAACAGAGCTCACAACCCATGGAGTCAGGCCTGTACGATGGAGTTGGTTTCCAAAAACATTATTTTTTCCAGATATTTCTAAAACCATGTGGCTGTTCATTCTCTCTGGTTTGCTAGCTTTTCTCCAAAAAACTAAGTAAAGTGCATTGTAAATTTTGGTCAATGACATGAGACAAAGTATATGTGAACTGCTGTATGAAAAGTGAATTTACTCTGTAAATCTTCACCCAAATCCTAATTA